CCCCCCCCTTCCCACCTCCTGTGAATAGGCCGAGGCACTTGATCAGACCATTTTGATCCCTGAGAGTGTTTGCCTGCGGTTTTGCCTCCAGCTTGCTCTGCTGTCGTTCTTTACTTGCCACCCCCTCCCCCCAAACTCCCTCCTCAAATTTGACAATCGGACAGATTTGGTTTGGTTTGCTGGTAATGTTTCGCGCATTTGTTAAATTCGTTTTTCAGTGACTCCTTTCTTTATTGTGTTTTATGCTGTCCGAGTTCCAGGTGTGTCTGCACACTCATCGTGGCCTTTCACATTATTGCCATATCACAGTAAAAACTAGTCGAATTTATTTGGAATTTTTTTTATAAAAAAATAATGTCGAAAAGCAGTGATCAAATTGTACTGGAAAGACGACTCAAACCCATTTATGGTCAGTTTTTGAATTTTGCTTTTTTTTGCTTCCAAAATTCCTTCAGATTGATCAGAACAATCATTGTGGGTATCCCATGTTAATGATGTTACTGGAATGCATATACATATCAAACCGTTCAAATTAACCTACATATCCACTCCCACTTAATACCAATGATGTATAAGCTCTTTTTTGAAGAAAACTATTCGAATAGTTATTTTATTTCTCTCGAATCCACCGACTAATTCTTAGCGTTTGTCGGTAAAACGAGCTACACATGCCTTGCCCATCGGATTTTACTTTCTCGCACGGTCACAATGGCATCCTGCGCGTCACTCATCCAATGGAACTAATAGAATAGAGGGATTGGACTAAGTGTCATGTGTAAGAAGACATTTTATAGTGCGATCTGTGTTTCATCCCTTAGCTGTAAACACAGACCGAACTCTGCATGAGGGTAGGACCATAAATCAGTATAGCCTCCTACTGGACAAGTACTGAACAGTCATGTAACTAATATGCAAGACAGATGAAGAAAAAAAGAGAAAGCAGTAAGAGAACAGAGGAGGTGGGAGGGGAGAGAAAGAAGAAATTAAACCATGATGCGGACAGTCAATAACTGTCAATTGTGAGAAATCTCTTTCTATGAGAGTAGTGCGCTGACTGGGCGTTTAATTCCTGAATCATCAGGAATGATGAATTTGTTGAGTACTGATCAACTCCTGAAGCAGAATCTGAGAACGGAACGTTCCATTTTGGCATTATCAACTTTTTATGCCTATAGATTATTGAGTGTTTGTATGATCGCAATAAGACGCGTCAAAAGTAACGTCGACATATAACCTAAATACACACATAACCGTTGGGATTAATTGACACATTAACTTTATTGATAAATCTTTTCTAAGATGAGCGTTATTTTGGTAATTTTTTTTTAGTTTGATTCTAATTTGGTACGATTTTTTTCATTTTTCTGCGCTGCGCCGGTCATGTGGGAGCTTCCCAGTAACACCACTAACATAGGATCTCAACACCGATTGTTCAGACGGTCCTAATACTTTTGGCAGTTTCAGTTGTTATTTGATTTCTCTAAGTGCAACTTAAAGATTTCAGATTCAGCCCCCAGGTATGCGTAATTCTCACGTGCGGGCGGGCACTTAAAAGATTTGACAGGAAAATTGCTCACTGAACAGCTAGGTCATTATCAAAAAACGACTGTTGAACGAAATTGTTCATTTTCCTTTACGCAAAACTTGCGATGATTTACGCTAGTTAATTTTATGCGCTGAATTAATTTTATTTCTTATGATCGTGTGATTTCCCACTTAACAGGAGCAACTACCGTGGCATTTTTTTTAATTCATTTATAACTTTTAATGGGTTTAATCTTATTTTTGTTATTATCGCTTTTCAGATTATCATTAATTACAGTTTTATTTTTTTAGATGCAGTGGATGCTGGCAACAATAAAAAAGCGATTCAGGAAGCGGACAAAGTGCTCAAAAAACATCCAAACACTCATTGCGCAAAGGTAATTTTTTTTTTCTTTTTTTCATGTAATGGTTTGCTTCGGCTTCTAAGAAAAACATGAAGATTTTCCCCAAAATTTTTGTGTCAACTCGCTAC